TTTTTTTGTCTTTTCTTCCGGTACCAGGAATCGAACTCACGACCTTGCGCTTGCCAGGCAAGTGCTTTGCCGCTGAGCTAAATCCCCAACCCCTAGTCCCTCCACTTCTGCCTTTGCACTTCACCTTTCTCATGGCCCACGGGCCTTGACCTTTTCTGTGGACTGGAGGTGGAAGATTCTCACTGGTTGTCCAAGTCCATCTGCCTACCGTGACTGACGCGTCTCTCATCAGCTCCTCTGAAGCACGGACTACTCACTAAACGCCGAACTTTCTCCATGGGTCTCTGCTCTCACTATGTTTGGAAGGGAGTGCGGTGAGATGATTGGCCTGTTTTATCTCAGTCAGCCTGTGGAGAACAGCTAGAAAGCCCAGAAAAGGCTCACGGGCATCTTGAGGGGTCAGACCTGTGGCCCATCGTCTAAACCATGGTCAGAGGCATCTCCTGACAGCAGCAGAAGCTCACTGTGTTGGAACAGCTGAGTGAGAACTTTTATTTAGAAGCCACAGTTGCCCAGAGAAGCACAATTTTTTCCTGATCAGTAAGTTATTTAGTACTTGGTAATATGTTCTGAAAAGCATTCATAAACTACTGAAGTCCAAAGGGCCGTGAATAATTCCTATCACTTTGGAAGCAGGATGGTAGGGTTTGGGCAGATGTGGAAAGTGTTTCTGAAAATGTCAGCGAGGATCCTGCTGGCTAGGCGGCGTCGCCTCCTCCTTCCCCTGCCTGCCTTCAAAGCCTTTATTCATTCGTGCTAATACAAAGGCCTTGTTCCTACCCATCTCAGGGCTCCCCGGCTATGCTCGGAGAACAGGAGAAATTATCTGGCAGTGTCGCAAGCGGTGTTTTGTGTCTGTGACAGGCGTTCCTGGCTTTGCGAAGTAATGACCTGTTGGCCTCAGCTAGGGAAGTAACAGCTGCGGTTATATAGGGGTGACACCCAAAGAATCTCATGGACTTAAAATGGTCCTCTGTGTTTGAATCTGTACATTTCCTGTTGTCTCCAAAATTCCGTGTGTTCGTCAGAGGGGTTCTGTGAGGGAAACAACCCCGGGTGTGGTGGCATTCGTGAGGATCACAGGCCTTTCGAGACTGTCTTCAAAGGTTGCTTTGTTTTTGGAGATGGGTGCAGAACAAAACAAGCTTTCATTAAAAGACTGTCTAGTTACGAATGATCTAATTGAGCTAGACTTGTAGGGAAGTGGGGGTGTGGTCTGATAGGTTGGCTTTTCTTCTCTTCAGGGATTACTCTGCTGTGTCTGACCATCCCAGTGGCCTTTGGTGTCTATGTGAATTACAAGTGGCCCAAACAGTCGAAAATCATCCTCAAGGTAAGAACTCCAGTCGCGCTTAGCACATCCTCACACTCAAAGACGCGAAAGACAGAAGTCGAGGGCCCGAGCCCCACAGCTTGCGATTTCCCCGGTGTGCCCAAAGGCTTGCGATCCATGCCTCAGGCTCCCTGTGTCTCTCTCAGCCTCGCTGTGTCACTCTCAGAGGGGCCTGGAAAACATGGGACTCGAGTTAGTGACAGAAAAGCTAAGGCCCGTGGGTGGACAAAGAGCACTGGGGCCTGCGCATTCTCGAGGCTCTGTGTGTTTTGTTTCGTTTTTGAGGTAGGGCCTTGCTCTGTGGCCCAGGCTGGCCTTGAACTCTCAGCGGTCCTCCTGCCTCAGCCTCCGAGTGTTCACAGGTGCGTGCCACCTTACCTCGCCGAGCCCTAAGGGGCGGCGTTCTTGACAGTGAACTCAAGCTCCAGAGTGTCTTCCACTTCCCCAGCTGTGTATCACTTGGAAGTAACATGTGCTGCTTTCCTGAAGGTTTAAAGAAATCTTATATTTTACGTTCAGAAGGAAGAAAACCGTTTGGGTTACCTGGAGATTCTGCAAAAGGGGGTCAGTTTGCTTTTTGCACTGGGTGGCTGGTGGGTTGGCTTAAGCTCTCGCTGTCTCCCTGGACAGTGAAGCTGCTTTTTCCCTGGGACACTCAGCAAGCTCCGTCCGAACCCCAGCAGGGGGCGGGGTACTCGGGAAGCGGAGAGGGCCAGCCTGGCACAGGGCGCCGCAGGGAGTGGTGGGCTGGGGTCAGACCCGGGTCGCGCACAGGTGACTTTCCTGCTGATTGGCTTGACTTCACTCTTTTCCAGCTATGAAATAAAGCCCCTTCCTTTATGCATTTATTATTGTTGTTTCAGTAGATTTCCAATGGGCAGTGTTTGGTTGTGATTTTATTTATAAAACCAGAGATGGGAGTATGCCTGGAAATGTCATATATATATATGTATTTTTTTTTTGTCTTTTTGAGACAGGGTCTTGCTATGCAGTTCAGGCTGACCTTGAGCTCACTTATGTTACCTAGGCTGGCCTCGAACTCACAATGATCTTCCTGTCTCAGCCTCCCAAGTGCTGGGATTACAGGCATACTCCACCAAGCCCAGCCTTTTAATTTTTTTTTTTTGTACCAGGAATCGAACTCAGGACCTTGCACTTGTGAGGCAGGTGCTTGTGCCACTGAGCTATATCCCCGGCCTTATGTCCTACATTTTAAATTCTCTATTTTTGATTACTTTTTTTCAGTTTTTATTATTATTATTATTATCATTATTATTATTATTATTATTTTTTGGTGCTGGGAATCAAACTTGGGATCTTG